CGAGCCGGGCGGGCAGGACGAGCAGGACAGGCCGGACGGGCAGGACGGGCGGGACGTGCAGGACGAGCAGGACGAGCAGGACGAGTCAGACGAGCGGGACGAGCAGGACGAGCGGGGCGGACGAGCGCGCCGGACGGCGGCCGATCCGCCCGGCGTTGGGCGTGGCGCTCTGCAGCGAATGCGCCACTCTACATAGCTGCGCCTCCGCCCGTGTATGTGTGGATAAACGACGCGTGAGCGGGCTGCCGCTGCAAACACCTCGCGACACCGGAGCGTGCCAGCGCAGATTGCCGAGGCCAGCTAATGGACGAGGAGTCTCTGGAGCGTGCGTTATCGCCGCCATGTGTCACCGTTATGACGCCGCTGGACTGTGAGGCGCGGTAAACTGCATGCCGGCTTCAGGGTTCCACATGGACGCCATGGAATGAGATAGTGTTGTTTGGGCCCGTCAGTAGTAAGATGTGTGGATGTTAATGTGAGTGTTACTTTCTGTCGCTCTGAATCTCGCCATACATGTTGTGTTGCAGGCTTCCGTGAGGGTGGAGAATGCGGAGCAACGTTAGGGTAGTCAACGTGTTACACGAATGTCTTGACACGCAACATGAATATCTTGTGGAGGAAAAGTACTGAAGTCAGCCAAAGCTTAAGTGCTTCTTTGGGAGGAGTTGTATAGCTTTGCCGCACTTGCCGCGTGTAACATTTTCCACCCATAGGTCTCAGATAAATTCATTGCCGGATATGCATGTGCGGAGAGATGATTTTGATGCCGCGTTTACATTGATGCCAGGATCGTTGTAAATCTTTTTCTTCTGATATTACTAAAATTATTAAACCGCAATCCCAAGCTTTTACCGTGCGAGTTGATTTCTTGACAGCCATATTTCTCCATGTTGACACACGACTGCACGTAGATTGAGAAGCATCGGTTGGGCTGACCATGTCCGTTTCGTTTTCAGGAGCTGAAGGAGAGCTTCAACTACGGCTCTTCTACCCACCGCAGAATGGCAAAGCCGGCAAGTTCCTGGACGAAGCACGTCCCATAGCCGACTATCCGTTCTCTGAGCCTGTGGGCTACCTGGAGGTAAGCTGACGCTGGCGCGTCTCTGGCCCAGAGGCCGCGGCAAGAGAGGGAGCTGCGGGGTGACTGACGCGGAGTGTCTGACGCGGGCGTGTCAGACGCTCAGTATCTGACAGTGTCTGACGCGAAGTGTCTAACGCCGGGTGTCTGACGCGGACTGTCTCACGCGGAGAGAGTGTCGCCCTGCCTTCAGGCGCGGGGCTGCGGGACTCCCTCCGCTGCATCCCCATCAGGCGCAGGCTTACACACAGCTTTTTCGGCTCAACACGCCTTTTTTGGACTAGTCTAGAAGTCATGGCTGGAGATCCAAAGGCATTTGGTTGTATTACAGTGTTAATATCCAGTGTGCATGGCTCACGTCAGCAAACCAATGCTTGCTAAAGGATGTTGAACTCGTTGTCAGATGGCCATTTCCAGTAACTCATGTATCTAAAACCAAATTTGCTCCACCTGAGACATGACTTCTAGAAGCGTATTCTAAGGCCGGACTGGAAGCGCACAACCCCGCTCTTTTTAAGGCCGTAAAACAGCACAAAAACCATGGTGAATTAGTCGATGCTGGCTTTCGCCGTCGGACGTCCACTCGGACTAAAGCGACGCCAAGGCTGTTTCCATCGATTACATGCCAAGATGACCTTTACCGGACACTGGTCGCGTCTAGTAGCCAGTGTTAAGACAACGCGACCCATAATACTAGCCATAACAGAACTAATGGACACGTCGTATCCGTCGGTTTTTCGTCCAACAATCTTTGACTTACGCGATTTCACATGCCCTCTGGGGCGGCGCCGTGTGACGTGTAAGACATTGCTCACCTCGATCTTTCAGGCAGGGTTGATGGGGCCTGGCTGCCCTGGTAGCCCTGCTCGAGTTAGAGGTGCGGGGCCTGTCGTTACATCCCCTACCGGTGCCCAATCCCCGTCAGTCCGTCCCACTCTGGGTCATAGCGGCACATTCCGCCGCAGCTGATCGTGAGGTCGTCTCCAGGGGAGAAGGTCACTCCCGAGCACGATTACTGCTGGGGCCTGTTGCGGCAGTGGTGGGGGTTCAAGGCGAACCGGGAGGCGAAGGCGGAGTGCTGCAACTGCCGCCGATTAGTCGGATTGGCCATTCAGAAGAGAGCCGCTTAGACCGGTCGCACGTGATTTGCGTACCTGCACGGGATGGGTTCGTTATATTCCCATGCTGTGCTGCGATGACGAGCCTGGTTTGTGTTTGAGCCACCCGATCATGCAAAGCCGCGGCCTGTGCACCTTGACAATTGCCTTCCCGGCGGCCGTGCGGCCGTCGGATAACCTGCAACTCACCGGCTCGCTGACGCCAGCGCAAAGGCGCAGCGGCCTCCCCGTGGCCTCAGCCGCACGAGCCCACTATGCAAGCCCCCGCCCGACACGCCGGGAGTCTCTCTCTCTCTCTCTCTCTCTCTCTCCTCTCTCCATCTCGTCT